TTCCATCAACATCTCATTCTGACAAATATGAAAGCATCTCAAATTCCATCAGTGAGTTCAACTACGACCCAATATCTGGTCTCGTATTTGATGCATGGTTCAATCGTTACGAAGACGTTTTCCGTATTGAATGCTACATGTTTGATGATGCTGCCAAAGTCCGATTGTTACTAAGAAAACTTGGTACTGTTGAGCACAACAGATATGTTAACTTCATTCTGCCTAAGAACCCACGTGAGTTATCATTCGATGAGACAGTCACCGTTTTATCACAAATCTTTGGTGAACAGTCATCCATGTTTAATATTCGGTATCAATGTTTTCAGTTGACAAAAATGCCTTCCGATGATTATGTGACTTACGCTGGCAAAGTGAACAAGGAATGTGAAAGGTTCAAACCACACGAAATGACATCAGATCAGTTCAAGTGTTTGATTTTTATTTGTGGGTTGAAGAACCCAGAAGATACTGACATACGAACTCGACTTCTGTCACTTGTGGAACAAGACCCGAAAATGACTTTACAAATGGTGACAGCAGAATGCCTACGTTTAATCAACTTGAAGCACGATACTGCTATGGTGGAGTGCAAACGACAGTCGTCTGAATTTGGTTCGATTAACACAGTGAAAAGTCCTCCGATCACCGTTAAGCACACAGAACGTCAGTCTCAAAATTCAGCTAAACCTCCTTCAGTGTGCTGGCACTGTGGTTCGTGGCATTTTGTCAAGTTCTGTCCTTTCAAGAAACATAAATGCCGTAATTGTCACCGTTTTGGACATAAGGAGGGTTACTGTACACCGCAGAAAAATTCTTCGGTGAGGAACAGAAGTAGTCGTTTCAAGCCGAAACAATCTCCTCGAGTACAGACCGTTTATTCAACTTCCAAAGTCGAGTTCGCCAGCAAACGTAAGTACATAACACTAGATATTAACGGCAAACGTATTCGTCTTCAGTTGGATACGGCATCAGATATCACCGTAATTTCCCGAACTACGTGGCGCAAACTTGGTTGCCCACAGATTCTGCCGACCGAGCATGTCGCCAAGAATGTCTCTGGAGATATACTGAAACTCGTGGGTGAGATAAATTGCCAGGTTCAGTTTGGTGAGCATCACTTCAATGGTGTATGTTACGTTACAAACTACCATGATTTGAATTTGCTTGGTCTTGACTGGTTAGACAAGCTCCATATCTTTAATGTACCATTAAATTCAGTATGCTCTAATGTTTCGTCTTCACCACACAACGTTGTTCCCGGAGATGTATCTGATCAATCTCTCTTGCAACGCCGTCGTCAAAAGCACGCTTCTGTCTTCCAGGACAAACTTGGTTGCTGCAAACTGTTTGGCATCCAGCATATTCGTAGCCCCCCGTATCATCCCCAATCGAATGGACAGACTGAACGTTTCGTCGACACCTTTAAGCGTGCTTATGCAAAAGCGAAGGGGGAGGGAACAACAGAAGAAATTTTGGATAAATTCTTGCTGCATTATCGTACGAATGAAAAAGGACAGTTATGTGTCAGACACACAGATCACGCTCTATCCAGTACCACGCAAAGGTCAACTCGACAAAGAAGAGCTCCGAAACCTTTTCAAATAGATCCAAAAAGCAAGTCCTACACTCTTTACGGGGAGAGGTGATAGGATCCCACATATTTTGGTATTGACTGTTAATCTTGTATATATGGTATATTATCATTCTCACACATTTTGGTAGTGACTGTTAATCTTGTATATATGGTATATTATCATTCCCACACATTTTGTTATTGACTGTCAATCTCGCACATATGGTATATTATCATCTCTCACGCACTTTGTTATTGGCTATTAAGATAAATTATTTCAAATGCTGTTAGCTGTCCATATTGTTGTAAAATGTATAAATACCATGGCTTTCTTTGTCGTTGTTGCACTTCAATACACAGTCACAGTCCAGCCTTTGTCTTTTGATATTTGCGTGCTTTACTAAATCGGAAGGTACGACGAGCAGATAGGCAGATTAGTTCAGGCGCAGACAGAGCAAGGTGAAAACGTCTTCATTCAATTCCCTACAGTTATAACAAATTGGCGACGGGGTTTACCTTAATTCAGTGCAGTTATAACAGTACCGAGGTCGAATTTAGGTAACTTTAAACCCTTACTATCCCTAAATGGCGAACCATGAACAACAGACTCATCATGCTGAGCATCATACATATCATTACAATTAACACGCAGCACCTAAGCATTACTTACTTTCCTGCTTGCTTCCAAGACGCTTCATCCCTTCTTCGACCCAGGCGTCATTGCACTTGACCAAAATTTCAGAAATGTTCCAGATAACGCTTGTTCAAAAAAGACTTGCAGGCACCAGGAAAGATGAACGGAAACTATCCAAACACTATAAGAAACTGTCTGTCAAGTCTCATAAACTGTCAATGTCCGGCTCTTGCTACCCCGAACCTCACACTGTCCCTCGAAGACTTTCAGAAACACTTTGCATTAACCAACGCGAAAACCAGAACGCTGATTGGTGACTCGATATTCCTTTATCCTTACGCCAACCTACAGCCAACTATTAGTTTTTATACACAATTAACCACGTTAATACTTCCTATAATTTTCGATCTTCCACTGAATAGCGATTGATGAGACGAAGACTGATAGATGGATGGCTCCCGCGAAAAACATGGAATAGTTGGGTTTGAGCAAACAGCGATGAATTGAATGTTCAGTCTTCAACCACACTGACATTGTTTATTAACCAGTATTCACAATAACAATTAGGCGTGTTCCTCTTCTTTGCATGTGTTGAAGCCAAGTGTTAGGAGTTTACTATTCCGGACGCTTTCTCTTATATAAACCGCATAGCTTATTCTATATGTCACCTACAATCAATCTGAAGTAAAACGCTTCCAGTTTAAGTTTTTCAAACGGACCGATATTTATAAGTGGAGTGTCACCACAAGACGAACATTCAACTTGATTACAGATTGACTTCGCCTGACATCCTTTTATGTTCCAAGTGTCAAAGAGCTTCCACACAGCAGGCTTTTGGTACAATGCTTCCACTTATGGTTTCAAGGAAGCCGAGAACAGTGTAGCAGCAGTTAGACCATTCAAATTGAGGGTGATTTTCGCTGAATGTCTTGACTCGATCACATGCCAATCGGCCTAGGTGTCCTCCGTTATCACGACGATCCTAATCTGCCGTCAATGAGATGGTAACTGTTTCAGTTTGAGACTAGGGTCATTTGCAGTTAGAAAATCCTCTAACTGTCGGTCATCCTTTGAATTTTCGGCCGGTACATTAAGATATATGGTGGTTTGTCGAGTAATATTCACGAGTATTCTGGACAATACATCAGCCACACAGTTCTCTGTCCCTCTTAATTGCTTTATATCACCGGCAAACTGATTTAAGTCAACTTGACAAACCTCACATGATATTTGTCTATTTCCGCACTGAACAGGTAAGTGAGAGGCGTGTGATCTGTGTAGACCATGAATATGCAGTGCACCCTGAACCTTTGAATTTTTGTTTTTTTTAGTGTTTTTAATGTAGTAGAGAAAAATACTATACTATCTGTGATTCCGTAACTGTTTTGAACTACAAGACAACCTTAAAGCCAACGGGTCTGTCAGGAAGTCTCAGGTGTAATACAAAAAATGGTAGTACAGGAAAACTGTTGTTAATACTCTGCAACGAGAGCAAAAATCGAGAGGATTAGTACCTGGAAAAACGATTACTGACAAAAACGAAGCCAAATAGAGTAAATCTAGCGAAAAACTGATATAAATTGTGGAAAGGAATAAGAACTATCAGTTAGTGGTATTTATGGAGTCGTGTAGGGAAGAATTTCGGTGTACCTCTTCCACCCGTGAACACACGCCGACTTGCGCGTGTGACAGGGGCTTTACTGGTAGCAGTAGGAGAATTACTACTGACTATCGGAGGTGCAACAGTGGAATCTGGACTGCAAAGGTCCCAATAGGCGTGACGTTGTGCTTGGTAACTTTGGAGCGTTAGCATTTCTCACAAGCACGCGCCCACTTACGCACATCACGGCTTATACCAGGCCACACACATCTAGCCGATATCAACTTGTCAGTTGCGCGGATCCCCGGGTGTGAGAGGTTATGAAGACAGTCAAATATGAAGCCATATGTTCCACTCGGATCCCAGGGAAATAATAAAAATATATAATATGACCTGGAAAACTGGATGACTACTAGTGTTATCTTATCCTCTCCAGAATGTGCCTGTTTTAGACCACGTATCTCTAAATTCATAATTGAATATCGTCCTCAAATTGTTTAGTATTTCGTTGCCTCCAGTGAGGTGGTAACGCACTGCCTTACTTGGTGAAACTAGTATGATCCAAGCAGTATGTATTTGAGCTAAGAGTAGTTTTCTTCCCTTCCAGCGTATTGCTTTGAATCTGATTTAAGTCCTTAGTATACCAACCAGTCAAAAGCCTAACTGCAATAGTCTTAACATCTTCCAAACATTTGAAGGCGTTTAACTTTTATTCAGTGAGGGGTTACCATGTACTGCATGAGATCCGCTCATTTTTACAGAATTCCAATCGCAAAACGAAATGGTTGTAAAGTAGCTGCTGAAGTGACATCAATCATAAAGCATATACTATTTGCACACATAGCTGGTTGTCATGCCGAGTACTTCCCCGATAGGCTGCTGGACACGTTTTTAAAATGTTGAAGGTTGGTTACCCCCATTCCCTTTGTTATGTCAAACTTAGCCCACCTCTTGATACACTGTAACTTCCTCGAGGCAACTGTAGTGAGTTTCATATGCTGTTTTCAATCATTTGGTGAAACATTGGGTCTTCTGCAAAGTAAGCATGGAATGATGCTCTCAACTTACAGCTTTTCTGTATAACTGGTACTTATATTAGGGCAAAAATTAAATTCTGCCAGTAGCAATTACTATATGCATAACTGATGACTATTTATTTTATAATTCCTGCTACTGACTGTTATTTTGTTTAGCTGTATCGAACGCAGGTTGCGCTAATTCAGTCAGACATGTCTCGGCCGTCGAAAGAAGACTGGGTTTGTAGTGACCCAAAGTGAGATTGCCGGACTTCTATAAATATTCTTTAGATGTAAAAATGTTAATTTTGCTAAAAGAGAGAGATGCAACCGCTGTGATAAGCCTAGGAAGCATGGACCGTCAAGCAAAGGTGGTTCTGAGGTCGGTAAACAGTTAGCTGAGAAAAGCAAAGGACTTTTTAGTCCAGATGATTGGATCTGTAAGACGTAAGTCTGTACTAGAAATCATTGTTGGCGTCAAAACCATTGTTGCTTCAGCCTCTTAGCTTCTCTTATAGGTAATGTACTAAGTGATTTAGGAAAAAGTGCACCATATGGTTGTATTACATACGCGTTTCATAAGCATCTAAAGTATGTATGCAACCAAGTTAGTTTGTTGAAATCATTTGAAATGATAGTTGGGAGGCCAAACATCATTGAATTCCCTAACCACATTCTAGTTTCAGCGAAAGAGAAACGTCAGTTGGTTTGTCCATATTGGAGATTTTGACGTAAATTTAGTATATTAGAAGCATTTGAGTTAGCCAAATCTTTCTTACCTCAGTCTCGTGTGTAGAGCTTCGTCTTTATTAGTACCTTTCTAAATATGAACCGAGCGTTTATTATGTAATTTGCCTGTCTATCCAGTCTGCTTGTTTGAGCTGTTTTCTTGACAAGAGGGTGTCTATCGATACTAACCTACCAGAACGACCCCTGATGACCTCTAAGTCAGCAATTCTTGAACAACCACCGACTTGATCTAATTACCGGACAAAATTCGACTTCGAGACCTCATTCCAATACTAATGGTTTAGATTAACAATCTATTAAGTGACTTGATTTTTATCTGATTTAGTTAATTCACATTTTTTGCTGTTGGTTAAACTGTATTCTTTTACTTAACCTTTTCATAAGTGAATTTCATAACCTGTCAGTTTCTGTTCTTAATCCTTTGGATCCAATCCTAAATGGAACTTATACTGCTCCAAGCTTGGGGCATGAAGTTTCATTATTTGTGGTGTTGTTTTTGCCGGATAGAATTGCCGTCCTTACACCCAACCCTCCCCCTATTCCCCAGGGTTACTACTGGCTAAGTGAGGTTTAAGTGTTCGTCCGTCAGTGTGGAATCAAGCCCGAACCACTTCCGATGAATATTCTACCACCGAAGCAACTTGTCCATTTTGGTATGACTGTTACATAATTTAGATTCTTGAGGGCATTAATATGGCTTAAAGCTCGAAATCCAATATCCTATCAACGAATTTTGTCACTACACCACCACACATTTCAAATCTTTAGTTTTATTCAGATTTATTGGTTGAGAATAGGAGGCTTGGAGCCGATGTTAATCCTTTTCTAGGAAATTTCTGTGGTTGTCCAAACCCTTCTTGAACGAATCAGTTGAGGTTGCAGACACCACTTCTTCTGGGAGTCGATTCCAAGAGTTTATGACTCGGTGTGAGAACCAGTACTCAACAGCAATATGATTTCTCCTTGGCTTTTGAACTCTCCTGCTGTATTTTCTAAGGTGTTCCGACCTGGTGGGAAGGAAAGGAGATAATAGGTCAGGTCCGTAGTCATTATTTAAAATTTTAAACATTGTAATTAAATCTCCTCTCTGCCTACGGTATAACAGGGAGAAGAGATTTAAACCGTCTAGTATCTCCTCGTATTGTAAGTTAGTCATGCCAAGAATCATACGTGTTGCCTTCCTTTGAACCCTTTCTAGAATGTGTGAGTCCCCTTTAATATAAAGACTGGCTACCTGGATGCAGTTTTCCAATCTTGACCTCACCAGAGATGTATATAAGGAGGTGAACATATCTCTGGTGATTCTAGTAAAGGCTCTGAGAATTGCTCATAAGGACCTGAAACTACGTGCAGCCACCGCACGACAGTGACCTGCAGTTTTTAAGTCGTGGCTAACTATGACACCTAAGTCCAAGTGAGTCTGAACTGATGGAATTGTTATTCCCTCTAGTTCGTAGAAGCTCGTGCTTGCTTGTCCAATGCGCATGGTCGCACATTTTGCCACACTGATCGGGAGCATCCATTCAACAGACCACTCTGACAATTTGTTGACGTCCTCTTGCAACGTGGACGTATCACTGTTGCCCTTCAGCCCTCTCCAAATTTTTAAATCATCTGCGTATAGGACCATAAGGGAGTCGGTAAGCAGAGATAACTCATTGATATACAAAATAAATAGGAGAGGTCCGAGTACCGTGCGTTGTGGCACTCCGTTACGTACTGCTGTCCAAGATGAGAGCTTCGAGTTGATCCTAACTCTCTGCCTCCCATCTATGAGGAGTTCCCTGAACCAGTTTAACAATCTGCCTTTGATACCAAGACTTTCCAACTTCATGAATAGTCTTTTGTGAGGTACTTTGTCAAAGGTTTTGCTGAAGTCTATGAAGACTACGTCAACGGGTCTTCTGTTGTCCCTTGATTTTGCCCAGCTTTCTCTTGCAGTGAGGAGATTTGACAGACATGACAGGTTCCTTCGGAAGCCATGCTGTGCTCCGGATAACAAGCTGCCATTTTCCAGATATTCCATGATGCTTTTCTTGATGATTCTTTCCAGTGTCTTGATTAAAGTGTTGGTGAGACTGATAGGCCTGTAATTTGAAGGGCTTTGCCGTGATCCTCCTTTGCGGAATCCGTGCTGTTCCACCGCCAGTAAGCCTTATTTCTGCATATAAGCTAAGAGGTGATCCCTTATGAGTGTTACATATATATATATATATATATATATATATATATATATATATATATATATACTTTCTAACCCCCCTTCACACTGGCGATTTTTTCCCAACCTGCTTGCGTGAGCTCGAATCATTTTTTCTTCATAATTCATGTTAGCTTAGCGTATGACGTAGTTGTCAATGTTTTTCGCAGACTATTATTCAAATTTGACAGAAAAATTCGTCATTAGGGTTGTTTTTTTGTGTATAATGTTTCTGAATTTTGTGTAGAGTTTGACTTGGTTATGAGAAAAACTGAATCACCCACCTGTGCAGTGGGTATTCTATGTTTCCAGTGTGCCTCTTCGTCATGCTTAGTGTCGTTTTATTCATGAAGAAGTACAGTTTCCGTCACTTGAATCAACGCTTCCTCTGTTCTGTCGTGCTTATTGAAGCTGGTGTTTCTCAGCGTGCAGTTCTCTCTCCTCTTCTTTATTTTTCTATCTTCTTACACGGTCTGTTGCTTACGGATGAAATCAACTTCGTTAAATACTCAGGTGATTTTTTGATTGGACACTAGTCAGTAACTAGTGTAATGTGTGTGTCTAGTCCTATCTTCGCTGCAGACTGAATTCTATCGGTCAAGCTTGCAATGTGGCCACCATGCTAGGTGGCTCGACATTACAGTGTACTGTGAATTGTCGGTATTAGATGGTTGGAGGCAATCGGAGGAAGCCTTGGACCTAGGTTTCGTGCTAGTTGGCGTTCATCAGCAAGGTGTATCTGCAACCTTGAAGGAACTTATATCCCTTCTGCCTCTAACTATCTAATACCAACTCTGGTGATTTGACTGTCTCACTTCCAGTCACCTCCCAATCTGACTTCCAAACTCAATAGCTTTTTGTCGGACAGTAGTCAATATTCTAAGCTAAATGGTCATGTGTTGAATCCCACTAAATGTGAGACAGTTAACTTTACTTTTAGTTTTAAATAACGTGATCTACACGAACTGGTCTGTTCATAAGATACTTGTAGCATAGTGGGTACTAAAATAGAAGCTAAAGCAAACGTTAAATAATTTGGAATAGTTCTATCATATGATCTTTCTTGTTCTGTAATTCCATATTTTGTCGATCTCCAAGCTACTACATCACGAAACTAAGAAAATCTTGTATTACTGAACCTCTACTTTTACAACTTGTTAACTCTTGTGTCTTGCCTTTTGCACATTCCTGCCAGCCCCCCTCACTGTAGTCATTCCTGGGCTACTCAAAATGGACTATGTGATTCTTCGCAGGGGGTGTTAAAGGTTATCATTTAGGCAAGTGTTGGTATACAATTTAGTCAACTTGTTACAACATTATAGTTGACAGACATCTGGACTTATGCGAGAAGTGGTCTAAAATCCATATTGTATGCCCTGGATGAAAAACTTCGACCGGAACAAGCTGGATGCAGGAGAAACAAGTCATGTATTGATCAAATCGCCACACTACGGATCATCATTGAACAAAGCTTGGAATGACAGTCACCTCTCTATCTCAACTTCATCTATTTTGAAAAGGCTTTCGACAGTGCAGCGTCAATCGAGAGGTGATTTGCCAACTACTTCGCTACTACGGGGTGCCGCCGACAATTATACATCTCATCCAACAGTTGTACGACAATGCTGCATGCCAAGTAATCCACAACGGGAAACTTACGGAATCCATCGAAGTGAAGACGGGAGTAAGACAAGCTGAGTGCCTAATATCGCTAATGAATTTCCTGACTGCAGTAGATTGGTTAATGCGACAGACAGCGGGCAATGAGGAAACAGGCATAAAATGGACCACCCACACAAAAACAACTTGGAGGATCTGGACTTCGCCGTTGTGATATATATGTCTGATTTCCCACAAACTGGAAGATATGCAAGTGAGGAAAAGCAACAGGTTGGCAGAAGAAGCATCCAGAGAAGATAGGACTTCTGGTGAACATAGATAAAACAGAGGCGATGAAGATTCCTGAGCAACAACAACAACAATCAGCCAGCATAGTTGGGAGAAGTCTCAAAGAATCAACCTACTTTACCTACCTACCTTGGAAGCATCGTTCCAACTATAGGCGGAACTGACGAGGATATCAAAGCAAGGATCGGGAAAGCAAGACAAGCAGCATGAAAAATAAGATCCGGATTTTCAACTCCAATGTGAGATCAGTGCTACTCACTATACGGATCAGAGACTTGGCGCGTCATAACGAGCATCTCAAGCAAACTACAGACCTTCATTTACAGTTGTCTTCGCTCAGTACTTCTCTTAAGATCAGATGGCCGGCCAGAAAAGGTCAGCACCAGGGATTTCTGGCACCTCAGCAGGAACCGATTGTGCAACAAACAGGCAGGAAAAAATGGAGGTGGATTGGCCATACTCTGAGGAAACCATCAAGTGACATCACTAGACAAGCCATTACCGAGTGGAACCTGACAGATGGGAAGCGGCGAGTTGGCCGTCCCACGGTGGGGTGACTTGGAGAAGGTCATGCAGAGAAGAGGAGATGAAAGCATGTGGGCAGACTTGGAGCCAGGTGCAAACTCTAGCAGGGAACCGAACGCAATGGAGACGCGCGGCTAAAGCCCTATGTTCCTCTACGAATTAAAAGAAATAATAACCTTCAACATCACCTCTACTGTCAACTGTCCCCTTGTATCTTATCTGGTAGGACCAGCAGTCTGTAAGAAAAAGGTTATATGCCCCGTAGTACCAACCAAGTACAGAAATTCAACGACACTATATTTAGCCTGTGTTCTGTAGGATAGGGACAATGTTAACCGTGAATTTATGTCACCTGTTGATAATTTGTTCTCTTTTTTGTTGTTTTTGTTTTAGATGTGGTAATGTGAATTGGGCTCGTCGAAACACATGTAATGTATGCAATGCTCCAAAAATTGATGTACAAGGTGAAAGAACAGGTTATGGTGGGGGATTTATGGAGCGTGATGAAGTCGTCGAGTATCGTGAGCATAGAGATTCTGATGATGAATTCGATGAATTTGGTCGTAAAAAGAAAAATTTCCGCAGAGGTCAATATGATCATTTGACCAGCAGTAGTAATCATGATTCATCGGATTCAAGTAATCATAATCATAACCTACAAGAAAGTCACAATTCAGTTGGTCGCGATCAAATGGATGATAAGGCTAATGAGGTGGATGAAGACGACGATGAAGATGAGGAAGAATCCGGTGATGATGCTGATCTGTCGAAATATGATATCTGGGGTACAGAAGACGACGAGGATGTGACTAAGAAGTCCGCCGCGACCAATAAAAAGTCACATAGTCGAAGTGCTGCTTCATCGTCTTCAGACTCCGATTCTGATTCTGACTCATCCTCTTCTTCTTCAGCCTCCTCTTCATCTTCCAGCCATGCTTCACAGTCGGACTCAGAATCATCCAGGTAGGTCGGAATGACTTCTTCCAAGTGTTATATGTTGTGTATGTATTTTATGTATTTTTCTATCCTATTGCAATTTTAAGTAGAACTCTATGGTTAGAAGTAAAAATTTTGTAGGGATTTAGTTTAATTGGATGAAGGATTTCATTATTAGTTGACATAGGGTCAGGCTGGAAGGGAGCTAGCGGTGATCAAACCAAAACATGGCTTCACCAGTCATTGAAGTCTACAACAGTTAGTCTAAGCCAAGTAGGAAGGTGTAGACTTCTTGGTTGGGGTCCTCGGGACGGTAAAAACCAATTGTTGGAAACAATCGGTCATATGGCACAAAATCGTTCTCAGTGGCGCTGGCGCAGATGCATCCACTCCTTGTGACTTATGACTTCCAATGAAACTGTATTGTTTTTCGTTATTACTATTCCTTTGTCTCACACCTCTGTTTACTGTCTCCATTATGCATTTCTTCTACCTTCTTCTCTTGCTTTGTGTGCTACATGGAGAGAGTGTGGCGACTTGAACTGTTGCACATCGGTGAAAAGTAGTTCTATGTCGAAAACAGACAGACATCATTAGAGAACCGTTGAGAAAACCAACCATAGGGAGTACCGGACAGCTGTTTCGTCAGTCTAGATTGAGACTCTGCTTCATCAGCAGGCTCCCACCCACCCCCAGGGTTTAAACCCAGGACTTTCTGGTTACAAGGCTAGCGAGCTCGTAGACCATTGAGCTACTAGAGGACCCAACTGATCCAATGGCCCATTATGTAAGATTTTAATAAAGCAAGAACAACAGTGGTGGTTTGTGCAGAATAATATGGTACCATCATTGTTTACCTTGTTGGCTTCTCATCAGCTCAGCTGCTGCTTACAGCCTATATAAATTATGAGGTTTAAGTACAGAAACGTCTTAACATACTTGCAAATTTTATATGTTGTCAGTTGACAGAAAGTTCCACAATTAGTGAACAGTGCTCAGAGGATTGCGCTTATGTAGTTTTTACACAGGTAGTTCAAGTTAAAACAAAATAAATGTATGCATATAATGGTAAAGGAGTTGCGTAATAAAAACGAGAGATGCGTTAGATGCAGAGTGACTGATAGATTAAGTAACAATGTACTGAGTTGAACTCAAATCATCGAAACAAGAGACAAGCAAAATTACAGATTATAAAAGAGGGATGAGGTTAAAGACAAAGATTACGTAATCAACGGAAGGAGGGAATAAAGACATCCAGTTACTAGGGCAAGGAAAGACTAATAACTGCTTTTTCTTTCTGAACACTTACATCTGGTTTCAAAGAACGGACAAAGGAGCTCGATTCTCCTAAAGTTTGCCGAAGCAATTTCTATCTAACGCTTGAAACCAGATGTAAGTGTTCAGAAAGAAAAAGCAGTTATTAGTCTTTCCTTGCCCTAGTAACTGGATGTCTTTATTCCCTCCTTCCGTTGATTACGTAATCTTTGTCTTTAACCTCATCCCTCTTTTATAATCTGTAATTTTGCTTGTCTCTTGTTTCGATGATTTGAGTTCAACTCAGTACATTGTTACTTAATCTATCAGTCACTCTGCATCTAACGCATCTCTCGTTTTTATTACGCAACTCCTTTACCATTATATGCATACATTTATTTTGTTTTAACTTGAACTACCTGTGTAAAAACTACATAAGCGCAATCCTCTGAGCACTGTTCACTAATTGTGGAACTCTCTGTTAACTGACAACATGTAAAATGTGCAAGTATGTTAAAACTTTCCTGTACACAAATCTCATAATTTATTTAGGCTGTAAGCAGCAGCTGAGCTGATGAGAAGCCAACAAGGTAAACAATGATGGTACCATAGTATTCTGCACAAACCGCCACTGTTGTTCTTGCTTCATTCAAATTTATCAAGGGGAATAAATGCATGAAGTTTCTCATGATGTAAAGCTTGTCAAATACTGAAAAATGAGTTGACGTTGCACAACCACTTTTACCACTGGATTTAAACATGGTAAAGACTAAGATCATGGTTGGACACTCCCTGCCGTGTTTATCGTGGCTGACTGGTTTCAATATAGAACTTTGCACAGATGTGCAACAGTTTGAGTTGCCACACTCCCTCCATGTAGCGTACAAAGCAAGAGAAGAGGGTAGGGAGAGATGAGGCAAAAAGAATAGTAATATGGGAGCACAAAAGAGTTTTATTGGATTTAACCAATCTCAAAGATTGATTGCATCTGCACCAGCCATTGACAACGATTTTCAGCCGTACCACCTATTGTCTGCAGCCATTGGTTCTTAAAATCGGAAGCAATCGTACTAGGAAGACTATACCTCCCCACGTGGCTAGTTGGCTTGAACTAACTGTTGTGGATTCCATTGACTGGTGAAGCCATGTTTCGGTTTGATAACCACTGGCTCTTTTGCAACCTGATCTTATGTCAGCTAACATTGAAGGTCATTTCTGAAAGGTGATGGTTAGGACATGTATGCTCAATCAATGCAGCTGTTTCACAACCTCGTCGATTGATTTCCCCTCCATCTTACCTATCACTCGACCGATGCCCAACCTCAATATTACTCACCCTCTTGTGCCACCTAACATGTAGTGTGAGCTCAGGTTATGATAGTTTAAGCAGATGCACCATCCTTTAGTCTTTTCCAACGGAAATTCGTCATGGAAGACGATGAATGGTTTGACATGTGTGACATATGTCCTAACTCCACCCCCGCGACTATAAAAACCTTGTCAACTGACTGAAGTTCCCTTAATAATTTCTCCATCTACACTTAGTCCCCCTTAGTGACCATATCACACCAACTAGCATGTAAAGTTGAGTACAGATTAACTGTGGTCAAAATACCATGCATCTCTTCGAATTTTCCACTTTTAACGGCCAGGTTACATCTGCAGCGGAGTACGCACGTCTTTTTGTGGGTTAACAGATGGCACAATTCAGCATATGCAAATTGAACCATTTTGCACACGTGGCGTTGATGTTTCTTTATCCATCAGTCAGTTAGGGCTGTTGCGACTATTCAAATAAGCGAGGTAGGTGGTCAACACATTCAACCACTTGACTGAAACCCTGTCCTCATATTAGGAACCGGTGCCTAGAAGTCCTGATTGTAAAAACACAAACTACGTATATTATGAGCACTAAAGGATGCCCCACACATTATTCTCATGGTTGGTGCGAGGGTTAGAATACTGCTGGGACGTCGAAACCGTAAGTAGGTGGTTGTCTTAATAGACCACGCCCCCCATGAGTCCTTAACTTTTAGTTTGATCCACAAAGCAGTAGAGCTTCGTTCTCAGGCAGTATCCCAGCTCTCGTGTGTGTATGATGCATGCCTTGGTGACCATCATGTACCAAATTGGTGTTCTGAATACTTAAAATACAAATCATCTCGTTTTCATTTTATGATGAATATTATAATACTCCTTCACATGAACGTCTATATGTTACTTATTACAATTTTTCATTTTATTACTTCCTCCTTTATGACAGCGAATCCTCCTCCAAACGTGAAGATCAACAGCCCAGTGGGAAACGAGCTCATCCGAACAATAACAGCAACAACGGTGATGTGCACAGTGATTCTGGCAATTCAACTCCAGTGAATCAGAAACGAAAAAGGCGTACTGATGCTAATGATCATGGACAACGTGATCGGTCGAGGTTCGGTTTCAGAGCGGAAGGCCAATCTCTGTCTAATATGACAACACTTCGTGTTCTATTTATATTATATATATGTTATTTATGGAATAGGGTTTTCTATTTTTAGGAAAATTTTAGTGTGCATCTAATTATTATTATCATCACTATTGTTCGGACTGGAACTTGGGGCTTCAACAAAATATCTCCACTTCACCCTACTTTATGGGGTTCTCTTCAACTGGCTCCACAATTGTTCATAGTCTGTGATCCCGTCTCTATATCATCTTTGAACATCCAACTCGTCTCCCATTCCGGGCTCCACTTGAGCGGATGGCCTGGCTCTCGATGTCATTCGATGGTCTCCTCAGCGTGTGCCCGACTCATCTTCATCGTCATTCCCTTGTTGCTGATTGATTGTGGCCGTATGATATTTCAGTATGGAGCGAAGGTGGCAGCTGTTGGAAAGGCTTTTGAAGACGCGTCAAGTCTCTAACCCACACATAGTGCTTACTTAGATTGATATAGTGCAATTATGTGTCATAGATTTGCGCAAATCCACGGCATCGTTTATAGTTTGGCTACTTCTGGGTATTGATTCATGTATAAGGGGGTTGTTCCTATCTCATCACTGAGGTTTTATCTTCAATATAAAATAACCTATGATAATTTTCTGGCAATCGCCAAACTAGCCTTCTGTATCCATGCTGAGATTTCGTCAGCGATCAACGCGTTGGCGTTAGCTGATGCAGCTTCCCAAGTAAGTGAAGTGGTCAATCTGCTCTACCACTTCACTCCCTATTTCTAAGCTAGGAGTCAATGTAGTCCAGTCCTGTAACATCATCTTACATTTGACGGGAGCAAATCGCATGCCAAACATTCACAGATTGCAACTCAGAAGACTCTAAATTTTGTCAGCCTGTCCAGTGTCCAAAACAAGCGGTTATTGCGCCATTTGATCTTTTCGGATTGTGGGACCCGCGTTCACTGTAGATTTGAAATCAAGGTTTTCCAGCACCCCTCCTTAAGGTTGACCCACCAGGATGTGTCTACCAGTCCTATTGTAGGCAGCGGACGTTCGCGTTCCCCGTATCACTTTTGTCAGGAACACCCGTACTGTATGAAGGCGGTAGTGAACACGACTTACCTGGCAAAGAATATGAAGGTACACATGCCGATGACTGAAATCTACCCATCGTCCACGACTCCGTATCTGGTCGTTTTTGAGTGCTCGGCAGTCAACTCACTGATAACCAGTTTTTTTTTGATTTTTGATTTACAGCTTGATTCCACACTATATTTTTGGTACAAGTATGGAATTTTCAGCATGGATATCGGTAGCCCAAATTTTGCAGGCCGACCATAGATATCAGGTGTGCGCCGGCGTGGGCTCGAACCCCGGACCGTGTGCATGGTCGGCAGAGTCCTAACCACTGTGCCACCGACGCAGTCTCATAGTTTTTATCGCTGAGTATGTGTATCCAAATGGGTCGTCAAATGTTGACTTTCAACATGTTCGTTTTACTTTCTATCGGGAGAAAATGAGGTACAGGTATCAATTATTGTGATTACATACACACAAACAAGTTTGTTTTTATGTCAAATATTAAAACTATACGGAGTAATGTCACGTCTTTGTTGGACAACATTTGTACATATCGAATGTAGTAATTATTAGAAACTAAACGAATATGTTAGTGTGAGATGTAATTGCTACAACCAGAAAGGATGTGTTGTGTGTGTGTGTGTGTGTGTGTAGGCCTATGCGATTGATAATCTGGAAGAAAAATGGCAAAACAGTTCAGCAAATCTGCAATTTCATGTTGTGCTCTTCCTCACCTCTCCCCCTACCCACCCACCCACTTACCACCAACCCTATTTAGCCAACTAAGATGGTTAGGACATATGTTATACTCATGCATGCCTAATCGTCGCCTTCCTCGACAATGGGCAATTGTAGCTGACAGGGGCAGGCCGGAAAAGAGCTAGCGGTGATCAAACCAAAACATGACCTCATCAGTCAGTGAAATTCAAAACAGTTAGTTAGAAGCCAGCCAGTCACGTAGGAAGGTGTAGACTTACTGACTGACTGGGGTCGTCGGGACAGTAAAATCCAATGGCTGGAAACAATCGGTGATATGGCACAAAATCGTTCTCAGTGGCGCAGATGCATCCACTCCCTGTGACTTATGATTTCCAATGAAGCTATATTGTTCTTCGTTATTACTATTCCTTTTGTCTCACACCTCTGTTTACTGTCTGTATTATGCATTTCTTCTGTTGCTTTGTGTGGTACACGGAGGGAGTGTGGCGACTTGAACTGCCGCACATCAGTGGAAAGTTCTATGTCGAAAACAGACAGACAGACAAATTGTTCAACTATCCATATTGTTTATTTTTGTGTTATTGGTGTTGGTTTTTTTAATAAGAATTTACACAATGTTTGTTTCACTTCATATATATGTGCTAAATTTATGTTATCTCTAGTAAAGTTAATTTACATGAAGTTAGATGATGGATTAGAAATGTGAAAATAACTACAGACAGGCTTCAGTTGTTTTACCGCAAAAAATCTGATTAACTTAACTCCTATTGGTTAATTATTTTTGATTGTCAAACCCGTAGTCGTAGTATGTGTAGGCGTGTTTGTGTGTTGTGTGTGTGTGTGCAGATGCGTTTAACACATGTTCAATAAAGATAAATTGATCTAATCAGATAACGAGAAACATACAAGACGTGATAACAGTTCTGGAACCTGACAATATCTTCGTTCAATATTGTGTAAACAGTAAAAGATTGTATTTCATCATGCGTGTAGACTGCCAGGTTTATTTTGTCGTCAGTAACTGATAGATCTAGAGAGTAGTGTGAATTTTTACTAGACATGATCCAGTTTGATTTGTTTTTAATTCCATGATGTTTTTTGTATTTCTTTTTGATTTATAATATGACATGTCGACTCCTAGAGTTATTTATGGATGCTTTTGACAATGCCTTCTGAAGAGGAGCATTGTTTAGTTGTTGTGTAGTGGTGTGACTAGCAGCGGTGAGTCCACTTCCACTTTTGTGTGGGGTTCGTCAGTTGGATGTACCTGTAATTTTCACGAGTTAGTTTGTAGGGATTTGATGATCTGGTTCAAGTTTGATCACGGATTGATTGATTGATATCATTTAGAGAAAAACTATTGAAAATCAACAGAGAGTAGTGAACAGAATCCTTTCGGCCATCATTGTTTGGAGCTCTTCAACAGTATGCACTCACCGCCTAGTTACAGGACGAAGTTACCTAGAGTGAGTTCTAGTGGAGTTCATCCGACTAGACTTGCCGATAACATTAGCGCTGAAAATCACGAATTGATAGAAGGTGGAATTCATAGACTGATGACTGAATTTTTAGGTCCCAGGGGCCGATGAGTGGTCTATTATAGGTTTACCTTGTAACTGAAAGCCCGTAGGTTCGAGTCCCCAGTGGTGGTGGTGGTAGGTGTATGCACCGACGAAGAGTCGCAAACTACGACGAAACTGTTCTGCCCAGTATGCTGTACTAGTTTTCAATGGTTCTCTAACTAGATATGAAACTTGGTAGCTGTGATCCCAAATGAGTGGTGGCGTCTCCCCCCCCTCAACTGTGTAATTCAAATTCATTGTGATGTGAATAGTAAACAGCAAAGTAGAATCTTCATGTGTCAGTGGTGATTCCAACACAAAGTGTAGATCATTACTCACCCTATTATACACAGTCTGGAAGGATTATCTGTCGCCTCTGTGATTTCACACGTATTATTCTATCTTGACTCATCAAAATATCACTTGGCATGAGTGTTGGTGTTTCAGTCGGTGAAATCTTCTTATGATAACGATTTTAATATGGATGTATATTGTCAAAATGCAGACAGTAAAACAGGGGTAAGTGGAAAATTTTAATCACAGATGAATGACGCTCTTTTTCTTTTAGAAAATTGCCCCAATGTGTGTACACGAATAAGTCGTAATTTCCGGTTTAAAACAATGAGATGATACATTTTCAAGTACTGGTTTTGTAGGGCACTTGTTTGATTGGTTGGAGGATTTCCTCATGAGGTGACGTCGGTTAGAGAACCACTGGAAAACCATCTGGGAGTAATGCCGGACAGTTGTTTCGTCGTTCTAGTCTGGGACTCTTCATCAGTACGCACCCACCGGGCTTCGAAATCCTTCAACAAATCAAATAACCCCCCTACAAAAACCAATACTTGAAAATTCATCTGATGCTCACTAACTAGCGACCGGCTGTATTCAGGCAGTTAACTTGGGTTCTTAGTGGGAAGCCTTGACCTACTGTCAAGGGTACACCAGGTTGAAGGTGAAGTTGTAACTCATCGAAAAAGACATTGCAAAGTGGTCGCACTATGTCATTCATGAATTGGCAGGAGTTAGAATTCATGGACTGGCTGGCCATTGGGTCAGTTGAGTCCCAGTGACTGGCTTAATGGTCTACAAGCTCGCTAGCCTTGCAACCAGAAAGCCCTGGGTTCGAGTCCCAAACTAGGCTGACGAAACAGCTGTCTGTTTCGCTAACTGACGTCAGCTGATGATGAAGTCCTCCAACTGATGAGATGATAATTTCTTTGGATGCATTTAATATGATGTTGTTAATCCTACTTTACTTGCCCTCTATTTTTTTAAAAACTTTTTACCACTATTTTTTTATTTGTTCTCTTTTTCATTTCTTCCCCTCCCCCCATCGCCTCCCCAACTTCATGTCCTCATCGATCCCTCCAATTCGGTGATGGTGGTGATATCCAATCTGTGGAAATGTCGTATAATAATATACAATTCATACATCTGTTACAATTATTTTTATTACTATTATTATTGTTCTTTTTGTTGCTATTTTTTTTTAAATTGATCAGATCACCTTTGTAAAACAACATGAATTATAATATACCTTCTGCTATTACTACTTCTGTTGTCCCCCCCCCAGCCAGCCACATCAACCCCCCACCCCACCCCACTGCCCCGCCTCTCTCTATAAAATGGTTCACATTGAGTCTCCGTGTTAACTTACTACTACTACTACTAACATGACCACTAGTCTTCTATGTGTGAATCTTGTGAGTGGAACAACTGCAAGAAAATCCTCTTCTACTGTGTATTTATTGATTGTCTTGTCTCTTCTTAACACCCCCCTTCCTACCTTTAGCTCTCTTTCTTTTTTCTAACACATCTATAGACATTATTTTGTATGAAACAGTCTAGGTTGAGAGTAGCGTCTTTGTGTGTGTGTGTGTCTGTGAGTGTTTGCGAGCTCAAGTGGAAAAAAACTTGTCAATATGTTCTTGAAGGTGGATCCCCTTTCTCTTCCTTTTTTCTTTTCCCCGTTGTTTGAATCCCACTATAGAAGGAATAAAGATCTCAATTGAAGAAACTTTTTTATTTCAATTCTTTTCATAATACACTATCTATCTACTGTTTGAAATACCCTTTATTTATCTCTTAATTATTCCATTCATGTTCTAATTCCTTGTCTTGCATTCGTCGTTTATATGTACAGTGATTTTAATGTGTATGTCTGGTTGTGCGTGCGTCTGTATGTGTTGTGTGTATGTAACTTTGAAATCGTCCTTCTGTATACGTATGTAAAAATATACGTACATATATGTGCGTGTGTTGATGGATGGATACTGTCTCTGTCTTGTCTCTCTTCATGTTGTTTTTTATTTTAATTTTATGTCAAATGTTTATGGATTTGTATGGGGTGCATCGGTAGTGGCGCAATGTTGTAGAATGTTCGCCGCCAACCACGCATCCGGTGGTCGGGGATTCGATCCCCATCCACTGGACGCACTCCTTTACCTCGCTTACTGTGTTGTTGTTTTTTCCTTCACGTTCCCCAGTGGAACATAGGACTTCTAGCTAGTGGCTTGAAGTTTCTGTAGCAGTGTTTATTTTACAGGATGGAGTTGCTACCCACCTCATGCCCAACCTTTCCTCTTTACTAGATTTTTTATTACCGGCTAAGCGAGGTGAAGGAGTGCGTCCAGTGGCATGCAGATCGAACCCCGGACCATGTGCATGGTTGGCGAATGTCCTAACCGCTATGCTACCGACGCACTCTCGCTTGCTAAGCCAAGTAATAGTCATTTCTATTCGATAGCACACTAGTCAGTAACTAGTGTAATGTGTCTAGTCCTATCATCGGTGCAGACTGAATTCGTTGCAAACTTGACTGATAGAATTCAGTCTGCAGTGAAGATAGGACTAGACACATTACACTAGTTACTGACTAGTGTGTGCAGTCAAATAAAAATATCTAATATAGTCCTACAGGAGGTCAATCGCGAACCAGCCCGAATAGCTCAGTGGTAACGTCTCTGACTCCAGCACTGGGTGACGTAGGTTCGAATCTCAGAGGGGACATGAGTTCTTTCAAGGCACTTGGAGACACGCCTTGTTGACTGGTGAGTGTCAACTGGCACGAAACCTAGGTCTAGTCTCAGGGCTTCCTACCGATTGCCTCCAACCATCTAATACCAACAAGTGGTAATAAGACTGATAAGAAGAGGGAAGGTTGGGTATGAGGCTAGCTGACAACTTCATCCTGTAAAAATAAACACCCCACTGCTACTGAAACTTCAAGCCTTTAGGTTGAAGCCCTATGCTCCACCGGTGATCGTAAAGGGATATATATATATATATATATATATATACTATCACCAATGATATTCCTAATTGTGGTGGACTGGATTATGCGTCAGACAGTGGGAAACGAGAAGACAGGAATATCCTGGACCGACGTGAAGAACCTAGAAGACCTGGATTTCCTGGATGATTTATGTTTGATGTCACTGTCACAAATTCGAAGACTTACAAGCCAAAACAAACTGGTCGAAGAAGCAGCCGGCGAAGACAGGAACATAGACAAGACGGGGTGATGAAAATAACCAACCAACAAAAACAACAACAGCAACTTCCAGCGACAATCACCATCAACGCAAGGGATTTGAAATAGGTTACTTCATTCACTCACTTATCTACGGATAATTGTCTCAACCACACGCAGTCGGAACGGACGAGGATGTCAAATCGAGCGAGAATCGGGAAGTCGAGAAACACATTCATCAATTTGAAACCAATCTGGAAATCTTCGTCACTCAGCCAGAATCAACAACAAAATTCGGTCGGATTTTCAATACAAACAACGTCAAGTCAGTCAGTTCTATACGGATCAGAAACTTGGCGAGCGGGTCACAAAGAATATTTCCAACAGCCTGTTGCACACCTTTATCAACTAACAACTGTCTTCTCTGGCTCTCTACTGAAGATCGGATGGCCGGAAAGAATCACCAACAAGGAATTATGGGAAAAAACAAAGCAAGAACCAATCGCCCAATAAATATACAGGAGAAAGTGGAGATGGATCGGACACTCGCTGAGGAAACCACTGGGTGATATCGCGCGTCAAGCCCTCGAGTGGAACCCGAAAGGGAAGCGGCGTGTAGGACGTCCAAGAGTGACATGGAGGAGATCGTGTGAAGAGGAGTTGAAAGAGTATGGACTAACATGGCTGCAGGCGAAAAGTACAGCAGAAGACAGAAGCAAATGGAGACGTGCGGTTGAAGCCCTGTGTTTAACTAGGAACCCAAGGGAGCAATAATATATATATATATATATGGAGTTTATGAATAATCCCTCCTATCTAGTGTACGTGTAGGCAATTCGAAATACTGTGGTGGTAAAATGTAATTCCATATTGGTTAAGTTTATTTTCGATATGATGGAGAAGATTTGTAGCTCAGCTGGATGATTTTGATATAGTTGGGTTCTGTGAGCTAGCTGGGTGAATGATTTTTAGTTGCAAAACTTTCATCATTGCCCTACTAGGCAAGCAACATCTTCAGCGCATACACTTCAACTTGAATTGAAGTGAGCTTTTACATTTCTCCACGAGTTGATTAGTCATCTCTCTTGGTGGGTAACCTCGATTGTGATTCTTTGGTACTTTTGTGTGTGTGAAAACACAGAAATGTAAAAGTTCACTTCAATTCAAATTGAGGCGTACGCTGAAGATGTTGCCTAGTAGGATACTCATGAAAGCTGCGAAATTATAAACTATCCAGCGAGGTCAGAGAACACAACTACATCAAAAAAAAGTTTATTTTAAATGTCATACAGCGTTTTTATTGGTGGATGGTGACTAGCAGTGGAATCCAGGATAACGCGCATTTCGTCCCATTTGGGACTTGTCAACTGGATGTACGCACATTACCCATTGAGTGATGATGTTCCCACCGAGTCTGGAACCCACTGGCCATAGTCTCAAGGTCGAAGCATCTGCACAAGAAGCCGACATGTCAACCTGAGACCGAGCACTTCGGTCCAACTATCGACTGGAAAATCTCAAATCCAATCTAGTCACACAGTGATGTTGCAGTATTGACAGCTGGATGACGAGGTTTCGAGCATAAATTATTGCCACGTATAATCATAACAGTTTTTGTCACACAGCTTCACAATTCGTCTTATGATTTCTTCTCTCTCTCCAACTTCCTTTTGTTGTTTGTTGCCACTTTTCATATCTCCAGCATAGGCAGCGTTGCGTCATTCCGATTGGACGTGTGCGGTGTTGAATCGATGTACAAAGCTCCACTGATTAACCTCACTCTACACCTAGCTATATTACTTGTTAATACTCCCAACCATTTTACCTTGTGATTACATGCAAGTGAGTGCAGTGCAATGGTTGAGCTCTGTCTTTTCTAGATTATCTAACTTAGCAGGGTCAATCATCATTGTAGATCTAGCTAAATTTTTATGTTTCAATAATCTAGTTGACCCTGATCTACTAGTTTGACAAGTGCTTTAAGTGACTCCACTGTTAGAATAATTGACCCCGGTAAGTTAAATAACCTTGAAAAAGGTCATTCGTTGCACTACATTGCATTCACTTGCATGTAATCACAAAATAGAGTGAGGGTTTTTAAAAAAGTAATATAGTGGTTAGGTGGAGAGTGAAATAGAGGTTGATCAGTGCAGCTTTTTACATCGATTCAACACCGCACGCACACATGTAATTGGAATGAGACGACGCCGCATATACCAGATATGTGGCAACAGGGGGTAATTGGAGAAAGAGAGGCGCAAAGACGGAGAATGCGTATATATGAGACAAATTGTGAAGCTATGTGACAGAAATTAACATGATTATGAGTGGCAATAATCTACGCTCGAAACCTTGTCATCCAGTTGTCAACTCTCCTTGAAGAGGGATAGACAATCAGCAGAAGTGTAGTGAGAGCTGTGTGTTAGCCAAAATTAGTAGACAGCAATTTACGTCAGTGTTTACGCCCCAAATTTTGGTCATGAGAAGAAAACAAGAACAAAGACTTTACGTGTGCGGACACGATTCGCAGATATTATGATTTGACCTTCAAAGGAACAGCCACAAATATAGATGACAGATTAACTTTCAGCGAGAAAACAACCAATCAGTGAGAAGACGCTATTTCTCTGCCAGTAATAACGAGGAATAATGTACATAAAAATCTATAAATATCTGTTGATTTCCTGAATAAACAATGTGCTGCTTGGCCCGTGTCTTCTGTCGTCACAGTAGTATCTGTTAGGGTTGTCCATTGTCCCAAGTTTTTTGTGATTGGTTACCTCCATCATTGATGTACTTATGGAACTGCCGACCGACCGATAGCTGCTACCTTCACGTGGTAGTCAGGTTTGCTTGCATATCGCAATGACCCCCCCCCCAACAACAACAACCTACACTGGCTGGAAGTAATGTTCCTACAGGTCTTATCATGCCATTGAGTCATATAAATAAAAAGAAAGGGTGTTCAGCGATGAGTTACTGCTCTTTCCGGCGATATCATTGTCACGCTCTGTACAATCGCATGTACACACACAGTAAATTGTCTTGGCAGCAAAATGAATATTTCCAAAGATTTGTCGTTAGAATTTTAAATAACAAATTTTGTTAATGGGTTATAAACAAAAGTAAGATGTAATAAGCAAGGTGAGTGACGTAATCTGATTGACCGGGTTGAATAGAGCTCCGCAAGGATGACAAACTGAACACAAGTCAAGTCAACAAACATCTGAGCGTCGGTGGCACAGTGGTTAGGACTCTCGCCGACCATACACATGGTTCAGGGTTCGAGCCCACGCCGACGCACACCTGATATCTATGGTCGGCCTGCAAAATTTGGGCTACCGATATCCATGCTGAAAATTCCATACTTGTACCAAAAATACAGTGTGGAATCAAGCTGTTACCGAAAATAAAAATAAAATACTACGGGGTAGCGAATCAAGAAAATATTATGCAATTAAGAAACAAACAAGCAAGAAAAAAAGACGGAGGAAAAATTACGTTTTTTGGTGTTAACACCGTAGATCAGGTGCACTGTACATGTAATCACTGAACAAACCTCTTCGATTGTGTGCGGAGTTCAAGATTTAACATCTGGTGAATTGCCATTGCTTCTGTGTGATTTGAAGAAGTTTGATTCGTACTCGTCTTCTAGCAAGATTCCCACGTATTTTGTAGATAACTTTGAAGTTCATTTGTGGGTTGATTAGCTTGGTCTCAGCATTCCATCAGGTGTTCCAGGATAGAGCTGTGGTTGGGTGGGGGGGGATATTTTTTCTCATTTATAAAACCATGACT